CCTGGCTTCTCTGGAAACACAGGTTGTTATTATTTTTTGCCTGTGTTCATAGAGACAAACAGATTTTTTCTTTCTTTCTTTTTTTAAAAAAATATATTTTATTGATTTTTTGCAGAGAGGAAGGGAGAGGGATAGAGAGTTAGAAACATCGATGAGAGAGAAACATCAATCAGCTGCCTCCTGCATATCTCCTACTGGGGATGTGCCTGCAACCCAGGTACATGCCCTTGACCGGAATCAAACCTGGGACCTTTCAGTCCGCAGGCCGACGCTCTATCCACTGAGCCAAACTGGTTTCGGCCAGATTTTTTCTTATTGGTGTGTCAGTATTCATGTGCTAAACTCACTGTCATTTAGAATTTCTTCTGAAACGTGCGCGCCAAGATGCTGCCATTTCCTCCACCTTGTATGTGTCTCTTTTGCATCACTTTGGGGCCTCTATTTTACCCACCTGAATCCTAGAACCTCTGGGCGTGCCTGACTATTGCCAAAACACAAGGTCCGGCAGCTACCCATATGCCATAGGACTCCCATAAGACCAGCAAGATGTACACATTGTTAAGTAAATGACTCACGGTTTCTTGGACATGCCAGTTTCCTTTCATCCCATTCCATTTCTCTACACTCATTTCATCCACAATGGCCTTTGGCTTAGACAATGATAGAGTCTTGTTTTGGGTCTCTCAATCTCATCTCTTGCCCCTTGACAATCTTCTCAAGACTTTTAAATACCTATTTTAAAAAATTAACTTGGCCGAAACCGGTTGGGCTCAGTGGATAGAGCGTCGGCCTGCGGACTGAAGGGTCCCGGGCTTGATTCTGGTCAAGGGCATGTACCTGGGTTGCGGGCACTTCCCCAGTGGGGGATGTGCGGGAGGCAGCTGGTCAATGTTTCTCTCTCATCGATGTTTCTAACTATCTCTCTCCCTTCCTCTCTGTAAAAAATCAATAAAATATATTAAAAAAAATTAACTTGGATCAGACTATTTTGCTGTTAAAAACATTTTGATATTTGAAGGACAAAAACTTCCCAGTGTGGCCTATATTAGCTGACAGATCCATCTCAACATCAGTAAATTATTCTTTTTTCTTATCCGCATCAGAGTCTTTCTTTTTTTCAAAAATATGTTTTATTGCCCAGCTGGTGTGGCTCAGTGGTTGAGCATCAACCCATGAACCAGGAGGTCATGGTTCAATTCCCAGGAAGTCCTGGGTTGTGGATTGATTCCCAGTAGAGGGTATGCATTGATTTCAGAGAGAGGAAGGGAGAGGAAGAGAAGATTAGAAGCATCAGTGATGAGAGAGAATCACTGATCAGCTGCCTCCTGCATTCCCCTCCTGGGGTGAACTGGAAGTCACTGAGTGCCGGAAGCCAGTCCATCCTTGCTAGCCCCTTAACTAAGTGCCAGGCGGGTAGTTAATCACTTTAACTAAGAACAAGCACGCTTAAGCTAACAAACACCCTAACCTTTGGAATAGAATGGATAAGATTAAAATCAACTGGAATAAATACAGATGTAACAGGAGAATAAAGAACAGGAATAAATACAGATGTAACAGGAGAATAAAGAACAGAACCAGAACCTGGCTATGCTGCTGAGCGCTGTCAACTGAGCGCTGTCTCCATGTCTTTTCTTCTTCGCTGACTCCGTCCACACCTTTGGGAACCCCTGGACCTGCTGGGGCAGGACCCCAACAAGTGGCGCGGCCTGCCGGTGGGAAATGGCGGAGTATTTGGCCTCCATCTTCGGCACCGAGAAGGACAAAGTCAACTGTTCATTTTATTTCAAAATTGGAGCATGTCGTCATGGAGACAGATGCTCTTGGTTGCACAATAAACCCACCTTTAGCCAGACCGTTGCCCTCTTGAACGTTTACCGTAACCCTCACAACTCTTCCCAGTCTGCTGACGGTTTGCTCTGTGCTGTGAGCGATGTCGAGATGCAGGAACACTATGATGACTTTTTGAGGAGGTTTTCACAGAAATGGAGAAGTACGGCGAGGTGGAGGAGATGAATGTCTGTGATAACCTCAGAGATCACCTCGTTGGAAACGTGTATGTGCAGTTTCGCCCTGAAGAAGATGCGGAGAAAGCTGTGATGGATTTGGACAACCGCTGGTTCAACGGGCAGCCCATCTACGCTGAGCTTTCCCCGTGACCGACTTTCGGGAAGCCTGTTGCCGCCAGTATGAAATGGGAGAGTGTACACGAGGCGGCTTCTGCAACTTCATGCATCTGAAGCCCATTTCCAGAGAGCTGCGGCGGGAGCTGTATGGGTGCCGGCGCAAGAAGCACCGATCGAGGTCCGGCCCCGGTCCCCGGAGCGTCGCTCTCGGTCTAGAGACCGTGGTCATGGCGGTGGCGGAGGCAGGGTGGGACGGGAGCGTGACAGGAGGAGGTCAAGAGATCGTGAGAGGTATGGGCGATTCTGAGCCAGGCCATTTTCACCGTATGCCTGCTAGCAAGTGTTGTAGTTGCTTGAGTAAACCAGTTCATAATGGGAATTAAAAAAAAAATCATTTAAAAAATAAAAAAGTCGTTGGACCCCAACAACTGAGAACAACTTGCTTCTTTAGATGGCGTTGGTCATGCCGAGCACTAGAAACCATTTGCCTAACACCCCACACCTCTCATTACTCTCTTTCACTGCACCTTATGCATTCCCTTCACAGCACATTAGTAAGGTATATATTTATGTTAGTTCTCCTCTTCTGTACCGCCCACTGGGTTATCTATGCCATGTAGGTAGGAAAGTATCTATACCTAGTATCTAATACAGTGCCTGGAACATTAATAGGTGCTCAATAAATACCAGTAGAATGAGTTAATGAATGAGAGAGTAGAAGAAAATGACAGTAAAACTAAAAAGAAAAAAAAAGATACAAATAAATAAAAATAGCAAAAAAAAAAATAAAAATAAAAACAAAAACGAAAAAAGAAAAATTAAAAAAAGATACAAAAAGAATAGATATGGCTCAAGAATGGAAGCTGGAGGAGCTAGGCTAAACCCCAGTGGTGAAGTGGTGAAAATCACCTACTCATTAGTTTGCATACTAAATCTTACAGCAGTACAAGTGGTTACACAGAATGTAGAAACAATAAAAATAATTATGATACTCTTTGCTATACAATAAAAAACCCTTACAGGAACTCTAGTCTCTCGCAAGTGGACTAACATTTGTTAAATTAGATGCCACAATGGTAAATAAAATACTTGCATGTTTTTATTAGGATCTATGAAATTGATATATCTATGATACGCCAGATGTCTTAGTTTTTAGGGCTACCATAACAAATTACGGGCTTACCTAGTTATATTTCACATTGCTTTATTGTATTTAACAGATGATTTGCATTTCACAAATTGAAGGCAAGGCCCTCTGCCAACAAAAAGATTATGACTCACTTGAATGCGATACTTGCTTTATTGTGGTGGTCTGGAACCTAGTGAGCAATATCTCTGAGGCATCTCATAACGAAAGGCTTAAACAACAGAATTTTACTTTCTCCAGGTTCTGGAGGACGGAAGTCCAACATCAAGGTGTTGGTAGATTTGGTTTCTTCTGAGGTCTCTCTTTTTTGCTTACAGGTGATTGCCTTCTCACTGTGTTCTCACATGGTCTTTTCTCTTTTTTGTGGGGAGCCGATATAGGGTTAAGCCTTGGACTGACCTGTTGGCAAAGTCACAAACAGGTCTTCGGAGTCTTAAACAACCCAATCCCAGAGGTGGCCGCTGATTTACATGTGCTGTCATTTAAAAAATAAAACTGGGGGAATTTTCCAGAAGCTGGTCCGGTCTTGCTGCTTGACACAGTCGCTGCAGGGAAGAATCATCTGCACAGCTTATGTTTCAAGGGACCTGGCATATATGGCGTATGTTTGCTCCCCCTCTTAGTGCTACGACACAGGGCTGTCCCAGGAAAGGCAAGCAGCAGGGCTGGGAGGACATAACCTCTACTCTGGGTAGGATAATCTCCTTCAGTCACTTCCTTGTAGCTTATCAGTATAGCGGCGATCTTGGAATAGCCCTTATAATGGAACACAGAGATTAACCTAGACAGGATTAAACTCAACAGAACTAGAGACAGGATTTTTGGTAAAGGTCAGATAAGAAACTATGGTAATGAAACAAGGAACTGTAGAAGGTTACCCAAAACATACCATGATGTGATTATAGAGGCATGCTTATAGGATCAAATGGTATAAATACAGATGTAACAGGACAATAAAGGAAGAACCTCGCTACGCTGATAAACTGAACACTGTCTCCGTGTCATTCATTCTTCGCCGACTCCATCCACACCTTTGGGAACCCCTGGACCTGCTGGGGCAGGACCCCAGCATTTTTTGCATATATTCCGGTGTCTCTTCCTCTTCTTATGAGGACCCCAGTCATATTGAATTAAGGCCTCACCTTTATGACCTTACTTAACCCCAATTACCTTTTTCAAGACCCTCTCTCCAAATACAGTCACATTGGTGTTAGGGGTTGAATATATGGATTGTTTTGGAGGGGAGGGAGGGGACAAAATTCAGTCTATAACAGCAGAGAAACTTCCGAAATGAGAAAAGTTAACTCCAAAGATATTAAGGTTAGAGTAATCTCCAGAGGCCAAAATTTACCTTGTACTTTTGAGCCTCATCTTTAAAAAAGAATGTGAACATGTTTTGGTGAGGCCTCTAAATGTTCTATTAATGCCATGGTCCTATATAAAAAAGGACCTATAAGTGCTTGCCAGTACTTGGAGATTTATCTAGGCTCAGCCTCCAACAATCCCCTGGGTACGCTCTTATTCTTGTTTGGTGTTCCTGATGCTTTTAGCTCTCCACCAGGCCTTTTCACATTGATCCCTAAGACTCCTTGCTTGGCTTTTACATAATTTGCCTCAAATACAGCCCTGCTTCTCACCCTGCAACCTCAGGCCATCCAAGTATGCTCCTGTCAGCCTAATCTTACAAGGAAGAGAGATTGGATCTCGCTTTGTCATGGAGAGTAAAACTGAGCTATTTTGTACTTACTATAGGAGAAACCAATTTGAATTGAATTAGATTAGTGAAAGACTATAATTATATATCATTCAGAGAAAAACACCATCTTATTAATTTGAGATTTGCATAATGAATGGCAAAATCAGTGCAGAGTCTAGGCAGAGTGCTGTCAAGAATTGAAATTGTTGGGTTTGTACTGTACGTAACAGCATTGGAGAGCTAGTCATACTTAAAGGGTAGTCACACAAGCACTTTCTGATCCTTGAAAGTGAAATAGAGTGTTAGCAAATTATGAAATGCAACGATAACCCTGAAGAGATGAAAAAGAACCATAACCTTGAAGAAGTGAAAATAATGATTTTTATGCCATAAACAGGATAGTTTGTCAATACCATGTCTGTCTCAACTCTCCATTACTTAGATATTGCTGAATAGATAGAAGCTATACGCGTTTCTCATGGCAAGGACATGCAGACATTGCTTCCAGCTACAGGAGACTGAAAACTGGCTAATGTTTGAAGTATCCATTGAAGGTTTGTAGAAGCAGATGGTTAGAAATGTGCTATATTTGAACTTTAAAACTGCTTTGAAGAAACATACTTGTCTCAAGTGTCTGAAGAGCAGAGATTTGTCTTAAGAAAATCGGTAAGTGTGACAATTTGAAGTTCAAGAAGTTCTGGACGGATGAGGAATTACCCATAATCTAGTTGCTATTTAACATATAAGTTAAATCACTGTGGCCATCTCTTTAGACAAGCTTCGTAAATTTCCAGGGATATTAACTCCAAGATCCTAAATGCTCAAGGCAAAGAAAGTAAAAGAACTAATAGAGTTACAAGGTCTCGCAGGAAGCTAAGTATATTATTAACATTCATAAGAAAATTTCCAATTTAATGACCTGGAGAAAATAATATTTGGGTTTAATGATTCTAACAAAAGACATCTCTCTAATAATGAGTAAATAATATCCATTTGATCTTTACCTTGTGGTGGGGCTGGACTATGGTGAAGATTTGTAAAGTAGTTAACACCTCTTTTAACCTTGGAAAAGCATTGTGTGAAGTAGCCTCATTATAACTGACTTCAATGTCTTCAACTTTAAGACATCACATTCTGAAAGGCAGCCATGTTAGAATAAATGTATTACTGTGACCTGTGACTTATACATCAGAATTTTTGAGAGAACTGAAGTGTGAAAAATCATTTAACCAACAAGATATTTTTTTGAATACAAGGCCCAATTAGCTTTATTCTTTTTTCTATACCCCACCAATTAAATAAACCAAATTCATACCCCTTCTCACCCCGACCCCCTTCTGTTGATAATGCTATTTGGACTTGATTGTTTCTGCTCCCTGGGCATTGTGCGTGACAGGCATGAGCTGAAACAAAACTACAAATTCTATTTAGTTTAATTTGATGCAGTTTTTTTTTTTCCAAATGAAGTTTATCTTCATCTCCTTTATAATTGTTACTGGTGATTCTTTGCCTTAGAACTCAATTATACTGTCAAAACTGAACTTTGAGCAAATGAAACCACGGAGACCCAGAAATTTCAATGAGTTCATGAGTCCAGATACTAGTGTGACTGGCTTATTGAACAGTCTGAATCTGGTGACATAGGAGCATGAAAATGTTTTCTCCCTCCATTGCTTTTAATCACGCTCTGTTGCATTTTCCCTTCTTCCCTCTTAACTACCTCTTGGGCACATGTAGGTGTTAAAGCTCAATCCAGTCCAACTCAAGCCTCATCTACCTTATTCCCAAGAGATGCCTGGCCTATAGCTGAATAGATTAGTACTGGGAAGGTGGGGTGGTTAGCTCCTACACTTCTCCTGGCTACTCTGAGTTGGGGCAGTGGGTAGGGAACAGAGTAAAAAGGCGGAGTCCTTGCTACTTGCACCATTGCAATCTTCTCTTACACACTGCAGCTTTCCCAGCCCACTATGTTGGATGGCTGATCTCTCTGTGTGTAAGCATAAGGGGCTGTTTATCTTGGGATCCATCTATGTTTGGGTTTTTCTGAGGCCTTTGCAAGACGGCCTCCAAAGTGCACAGTTGGCCTCCATAGGAACTGTGATTCTGGCTTCTGCTTTTCCACACCAGTTCCCTCTTCTTGCTTCCCAGCCATCTCTCCAGTTTCTAGATCCTACTTGAATAATAATAAGGCCGCTCAGGCCCACCTACCTAGCAGATATGCCCGCTCTGACCCAGTGGAAAAGACCTATCGTGGGCATGACAAAGGGTGGGACTGCAGGTTTTCCCTATGTGATGTCCCCTTTTGTCCTGCCACCTTTCACTGATTCTTATCTCCTTTAGCTCATTCAGGCACAGGCGGGTCAAGACTTAATTAGCAAGCCTACTTCAAACACTGCCTCATTATGAGATGCATCTCCCCTTCCTACAGGCCTCTGCATCTCAGCTTGGGGCCCAGAGGGAGTCTTCTCTCCATTCTATGCGGTGAAAAGGAAAAGCTAAAGTTCTTCTCTTTAGATGGACTTCTCTCATGTCTTATGACTTTTTTGGATCCCCACCTAGTCATTTGCTAACCAGCGCAGGAAGTGAGGATGGCAGGTGGAGCATAGATGGGTTCAAGGTGTTGCCTCTTGCTCTGTCTGAGGATGTGTCCAGCTCAGTCGTTTTCCTTTCCCATATGAATGATGGAATCCTTCCCTTGTCCTTGCCTCCACTTAACCACCTGTTCTAGTAGGAAATGACCAACCTGCTGACAATAGCCCAGACCAGCCTGGGCCATGGTTGGGAATCTGCAGAATCGAATGAGAAGACTGGAAACAAAGTGTTGCTGCCCTGAGGCTGCTTTTGGGGATACTGATTTTAAGCTGTTTATTAAGAAACAAGGCTCAGAAAGAAACTTTGACCCTCCCACATTTCCTGCCTGTGAGATGGAGACAGAGAAAACTGCTTCAGGAAGGAGATCTTAGGATGCTGCCTTAGCCTAATTGGAATTAAGTATGGTAAATAAGAGGGCTTCCGGCAGGGCCTCTTAGCTAGATACCCTTTGTGTCCTACTGTTTTTGAGTCACCTAGAAAGAATTTGCCTGATGTGTACAGGGTGAGGCAAAATTAGGTTTATAGTTACTCTTCTGGAAATAATATAATAATTAATAAGTAGTGATACAAGAATAAATGCAGTGTTTCATGTACTGAGGACTGTAAATCTACTTATGACCCACCCTGTATATTCCCCTTTTCCTCACCTACCTTTACATGGCCCATTTTTCACTTCTGAAATCTAATACCCTGCCCCCATCTTTTTCTCCTTTGTCCAAAATATCTTATAGACCCAATGTTGCCTCACTGCCTTTGGAATTTTCATGCTTCTGTGAATTCCCCGTGCACATGTGTTAAAATCGGATTTTCTCCTGTTAATCTGCCTTTGTTAATTTGATTATTAGCCCAGCTAAAAGAACTTAGAAGGTGGGAGGAAAAGTATTAAAATTTTTAGCCCCCACAGAGATGATTCCAGAAAAAGAGGGCTGGGACCACAGTCCTATAGACAACATTCTTCCAGCCCCTCCCTGCTCCGCGGTCAGTGGCACATCTCCAACGAGGGGCTGGTAGCAAACACAGCAACCCCCTGCAGTGACACCTCAGGATGTTTGCTTCCAGTGAGCTACTACTTAGGATTTGGTAATTATAAATTATTATAAATTATAAATTATTCCATTAGCTCGTGACATATGAATGGCCACTTTTTTCCTAAATAAATAATGGTCAAATATTGGCAAGTCCATAGCGTTAAACCTAATTAAAATGTGGATTTAGTCATTGTCAAGCAATCCTGTTTTTTTGTTAGAGTTCAGAGTTGAAAACCTCCTCTGACAGTTTTGGAGAGGAGAAAACTTGGGGGTTTTCATCTGAAGTCCCTGACTTCCGCTGTAGGCAAAACTGATGACTTCCCCTGCTTACTGGAGGGAACTTAAACAGAGATGAAAAAGCAAACTTTAACAAGAAGATTTTTTTTTCTTTAAATTTGGAAGAGAATTTATCAATTTGAGGAATGGTTTTGGCACATACTTAAAAATATTTCAAGATTTTTTTGTTTGTTTGTTTGTTTTTTTTTGAATAGGAGAATACCACCTGTTATCCAGAAAATAATAATGTATAAGAAGTCCGGGAAAGCTCTTAAAATGTGTCAGTTGTAAAATATTCTATCAAGTGAAATCAGGTGGAATGTCTCCATATTACATTGTCGGCTTCTGTCATTACTACTTGTTACCATGCCCACAGAAACTCTGGTGTGTGGAACGTAGGTATTCTCATGAGGTTGTTAGAGCAATAAACAGTATCACAAACAAAAGACCCTTTGTGCCAACATGGAAGAGAGAGAACATAATTTTCATATTGGCTACTTATCAGACTTGCGTGTATGTAGGATAGCACTACGTGAAAAAAAAAGTGACTGCAAAGTTTAGACAGAATTTTACACACATTTATACAAAAAGTCAGAACGCCAGGGGATTCCTGAGATGCCAGGGGATTCACTGTGACTGTCCTATACGCACCTTGTGAGAGACCCTGGGCTAATTCTAACACTTTCAAGGTCAGAAGGCCCACAAGCGTACACTGTGAAATTAACAGATGATTGAGCCTTTTAATTGGCCTACTGTATGCTCAAGGAGATATCCTGATGAGGGGAGAGGGGAGGGTGTGTTGGCAGAAAATATCAAAGAAAATGACATCCTTATACTCATACAAGGTGCAGGTGAGAGTTCATTGATAATTACACTCCTTTGATCAGTTTGTTGCTATATATCCTGAAACTTCAACACATTCATATCCTCTGACCCAGCAAGGCAAGTTCGAGGAGTCATCTATCTATATAAAAGCCTAATATGCAAATCGACCAAAGGGTGGAACTACTGGTGGAACAACCAGTTGCTATGATGTGCACTGACCACCAGGAGGCAGATGCTCAACGCCACCCGCCTTGGCTGGCCTGGCCCCCATTGCCCCACCAGGCACCCCACAGATCGGCCCTGATCGCTGGCCAGGCCTAGG